TGCCATGTTGTGCACATTCACCGTCAAAGCCAATTCCCCTCAAATTTCTACTGTGTATGGCGCTTCTTCTGACACCCTGATCATGTATGGACTCTGCAAGTCGTTTTTGAGAAATCCGCGCGGAGCTCCGACCATTCATGCTTATGTCATGGTTTGCTCCCAGATTTATGCATGTTTGGGTTCCCTCGGGATCGAGGACGATTGAGGAGAAGAAGGCGAGGACGGAGGATCGAGAATTCCAGAATCGAGACCGGAGGATGGAGGACGAGAAGGGAGGATCGAGGACTCGAGGATCGAGGAGCCATCGGGAGGGGGGCGGAACACTTGCGCTCACGAGCGGCGAACATACCCGTAGCCGCGCTCTCGCGGTCTGGACTCCGCGGCCCGATGCCGCAAGTACGCGGTAGCATGATGTCCTGGACGGGGTCGGAGCAGATGGGGCCGGAAGATCGCGCCGCATCGCCGATGCATCGGCGATGCATCTGTGACGTCGGCGATGCATCGGTGACGTCGGCGTGGAGAAAATCGGGCCCCACATGGAGCCGCATCGCCGATGCATCGGCGATGCGGCGCGATCCGCCGACCTCATCTGCTCCGACCCCCGATGGGAGGCCTACACATTCCGCGCGGGGCCGCCGCGAACACCGCCCTGCATCTTGCGGGGCCGCCGCACCGGGGCCTGCAGGCCCCAGGACGCCGCGGAGACGCATGTGTCTTTCGTCCACGATCAGGAAACGAATAGCGTTGGGTGGGGCATGTCCCCCTACAGGCGGATTTTGGACGAAAACCAGAAGATGTGGAAAAGTATGCAAAAACAGTCATATTTGCTGGATGTTCGTCTTCCCCCAAACTTGCCATATTTTCATGTTTCCCTCGGGATCGACTATTGTTCGAGTTTACGTGTTGCTTCCGCTCCGCTCGACGTCCTCTGCCAGGACGCCTCAACAGCGCCCGGCCGCCCCGGCCACAACTGGCGATGTTCATCGCGCTGCGATGGCCTCCCCTCTTTCCGCCCCCCGCGGCCGCCGTCCGCCTTCCTCTCCCTCGCGTGCCGCCAGACACTGCGTATTCCGTGCCCCCGGACAACTTGAGCGCGGGTGCGGCTTGCCTCCGCCGCGCTGCGACGAAGAGAAAAAGGGGCGTTGTCCGCTGCTTCCCTCTTCCCTCGACGCGAGGCGCGGCAGCCACTCTGAAGGGGCCCAAGCACACACGAATAGATATACACGCAAATGCTAGTATTCCAAAAGGTGTCTCATATGTTCAGGGTTCTTGTCTCCCCCCCACTTCCCATACTTTCGCACATGTTCCCCGGCATCGACGATTGCTTGTGTCTGTGTTCTTTCCCCTCCTGACGCTCCTCGGGCGACTGCGCCCGCGGCTGCGACGCCGCCGGCGGCCTCCCACCGCCCATGCCCAGCAGGTCCTGTGGGCCGCGGAGGGGGAGCTCCCCCCGGGCCGTCGCTCGGACGTCCATTTCCCGTGCATTGTTCGGTTTCGTGCGTGTTTTCTTCGCTCGATGATGCAGGATCTTCCTCAAGGGCCCTCGCCGAGAAAAAAAAAATACACACGTCCGAGCGATGCCAGGCCCCCCGGGGCCGCTCTTCTGCCGCCGCCCCTGCGCGCGCCCGCGCGCCGGCGAGCCCTCTGCCATCCCCGTCACCGCCCTCCTCCTCCTGATGGGCCTGTTTTCCACCACCACCACCACCACCATGAGTTGGAGGGGGCGAGAGGTGGAGGATGAGGAGGAGGAAGAAGAGGAAGAGGAGGAGGAGGAGGAGAAGGAGGAGGAGGAGGAGGACCCCTCCCCCTCCTACTTATGGTGGTGGTGATGGAAAACAAGCCCACCATCCTCCTCCTCCTCCTCGATCTGCTGCTGCCCGATGCACTCACAATATGCCGACGGAGTGGCCACGCGACAGGCCATCACACATCAGGGTCGCGCCTGCGCGGGGAGCCCTTGGGCCCTGAGGGCCCCTCCAGAGCAAGGGCTCCCAACTTCGAGCCCTCGCGCTGCGCGAAGCGCGAAGTGCGAATCACTTCGCGCCCTCGCGCCGCCTCCCAGGTGAGAGGAAGAGGATGAGGAGGAATCGAAGCCGAACCGCGAAGCGCGAACAACTTCGCGCCCTCGAGGGCGCCCTTGCAGAAGGCTGCTGGGGGTGGGGGAGGGGGGGTCTTTTCGCCGCCCGCTCGCCGTCCTCCCTCGCCAGGGGGAGGGCAGAGCTGCCGCAACCCAGCTATAGCGGGGGGGGGGGGGGCCTGGCCGCTCCTCCCCTCCGAGCCGGTGGCGCCCCTGGCTCTGGGTCGGACGTGTCCCCCCACGGGCGGATCGTGGGCGAAGAACGAGAAGTACCCAAACAGATGCGCAAACATGGCCCAAACATGCAGCAACAAAAATCGCCCCCAGACTAGTTTAAAACTATGTTCGCAGGCCTGGAGGTTGACACCAACACCAAGATCGGCGGTGTGCATCCACCGAGGGAAGACGATCCCGATCTCGGTGATGGTGGTAATTAATATTCTGGCTTCCAAGGTGACCGAAATATTACCACCAACGCCGACATCGAGGATCATCTTCCCCATGTGGAGGCAAACCCCTGTGCTGGTGTTGGTGCCAATTTCCAGGCCTCCCATATTTTTGAACATCCTCCCTGTAGAGGGACAGGCCCGACATATAACCCCTGTGGGGCGCGCCCCCCGAGGATGGGTGCCCCGAACGGCGCGCTGCCAGCTCGGGGGGGGGGAGGGGCCTGTGGGCACGGAGCTCAGAGGGAGCTCTGGCGGCGGTGGCTCCTGTAGCTCCTCCTCCACCTTCCCCTCCTTTTCCTCCTCCTCCTCTTTTTCCTCCTCCTCCTCCTCCTCCTCCTCGTCCTCCTCCTCCTCCTCCTTTTCCTCCTTCTCCTCCTCCTCCTCCTCCTACTCGTCCTCCTCCTCCTCCTGGAGGGAGCAAAGACGGCAGAAACACAAACCGGGTGACGGTCCGCGCGGCCTCCCTTCTCCTGGATCTGCGCCGTGCCCCCCGGGCGGCGCCGTCAAAAACGCGAGGTCTTTCCCTGACGGGGCTGCTTCTTCGAGCCTGCTCCCCCATCACTGGAGGCCCCCCACATGGGGTCCGAGGAGATGGGGTCGGAAGGTCGAGCCGCTTCGGCGATGAACTGGCCCCACACCGAGCCGCATCGGCGATGCGACGCGGTGCGCCGACCCCAACTGCTCGGACCTCGTCTGGACGTCTGTACCCACTCCCTCCTCGTCATCGTCCCCTTCCTTCCTCCCCCCTGCCTGCCTGCCTCGCCTCCTCGTTTGTGTTCCTCCTCCACCGCCTCGCCCTCCTCCTGCCCCTGGTCATCCACGACTTGTGGTTGCATCTCCCCCTCCCCCTCCCCCTCCTCCTCCCCCTCTTCTTCCTTCTCCTTCTCCCCTCTTCCTCCTCCTCCTCCTCCTCCTCCTCCTCCTCATTCTCCTCCTCCTTCTCCTCCTCCTCCTCCTCCTCCTCCTCATTCTCAGCGTCCCCCTCCCTCCCCTTGGGCCGTCCTCCCCTCCCGTCTCCCCTCCCGCCCATCTCTTCGTACCGCACGCGCCGATTGCTGATCGCTTCTCTCTCGCTTCCCCGTGAGGGCCCAGCGCCGATCCCTAAAAAGTCGCGCGGACTTGCGGACATTTACGCGTGTGCCACTGCTTCTTCCACGATTCCACCTCATCACCCTACCCCCACCTCTATCTTCATATCACCTCTCGCGTCTCATCCCTCCCCCTCCTCCTCCTCCTCGCTCCCGTTACTGCATTGTAGCGGGCAACAAAGGGCACCTCGGCAACGCCAAGTGCGAGGCCTGGTCAATGCCGAGAGGTTTGCGATCTGGTTTCGCCACCGGGTGCTGCCCGATCGCCGAAGCCAAAGCCCTTCACCTGCTGCTGTGTGTGCTGGTGTTCTACCTCGCCCCGCTCTCCGCTGAAGTCCCATGGGCGGGACTCCCCACGCCATGCCGACCGCACTTCGGCGGCGCCTCGGCCCGAGAGGTCAGGCGAGAGCCCAGTCGACTTTTCCAGTGATCATGAACGGCCAGACTAGGACTCGACAACGTTGCGGATCCCACTGAGATTGCCAGGGGATCACTGACTATCCATATAGCTATTGGATACAATAATCTTCTGGACAACAACAAACCAGCACGCAAACACAATCCCGAACGAGAACACACTGTCGAATAGAAAGCACCCTCCATATGTGCAACAGCTTGGAAGTGTCATGTCTGCACCAGTCTTACAAAGACCGTTTGAACATAGAGGGTCTCAAGTCGCCGCAGACCAGCGATAATCTTAACGGTGCTCGGTGTTCGTCAACACGGTCCCCCGATAGTCTCTCAACGTGTGATGGATTGTACGTGGCGCTGGATGATTAGATTGTTGGCGGTTGTAAATGCTTGGCGTTCGGTCTTCAAGGGTGTCCCTACTTGGATCTGCAATCAGATGCTAGATCCCCTGATGATGTCAAACTTTGCGTTCTGATGATACGGTACCCTCAAGGTCTTTCGATAAGATGGGGTCACCCGAGGATTGCTTATGCGCGGTGCAATGATAGGGCTCCCCGATTTCGTTTTCAAACATGCGAGGTACTTCTAAATGTCTCGTACTTGCTCTGGGCTGACTGGATTGCCCAGCAAGTCCCACACCGTTGATTCCCGCCCGCAGGGTCTCGCTCCAAATGTTCCCACCCAGAAGGCTCCCACCTTGTTTGGTCCCATGCCAAAGGATCCAGCCCAGAGGGTCCCACCGCGTATACATTGCACCACGTAGACGGCACGGGTCAATGCGACCCTGGCCCTGCAGGATCCTGCAAAATCGAGCGATCTGGCTGACCCCCCGTTTGCATTGACCCCTGTCTCTTGAGCCCCGAATGCCGTGGCGTGGCGAATGTCCGGCCAGCGGGCGGGAGGGTGACGTGGCGACAGAGGAGACACGCAACCGCCAGCCGCCCGCCCCGCCAGAGGGGCAGTGCGGGCAAGGTCCCCGAGGAGGCCGCTCAGGCTGTCGCTCACGCTGCCGTGGCGGCCTCCCGTCGTCACTGGGACCGGCACGCGTCCTCTTTCCTCCTCCTCCGCCTCTTCATGATCATCCCTCTCCCCCCCCTCCCCCTTCTCTCCATTGCCTTCGTCCTTCTCCCCCTCCCCCTTCTCATCATCATCATCCTCCTTTTCCGCCTGCTCCGCCGGCTGCTGCTTCTGCGCCTCCTCCTCCTCCTCCTCCTCCTCCTTCTCCTTCTCCTCCTTCTCCTCATCATCAGCAGCATGATGTTTATTATTGCAATTATCATTGTCACTATCATTATCGTTATCATTATCCTCCTCCACCTCCTCCCTCCTCCTCCTCCTCCTCCTCCTCCTCCTCCTCCTCGTCATTATCCGTCTCCGTACCCGTATTCTTACCCTCATGCTCATCCAGCCTCTCACCACCACTACCACCACCACCACTACCATCACCATCAGCATAATCAACAACATTGTAACCATCACCACCACCACGACCACCACCACCATCACCACCATCACCATCACCACCATCACCATCATCATCATCAGCAGCAGCATCATCACCATCATCCATCATCATATTCATCATCACCATCATCATCAGCAGCATCAGCATCAGCATCATAATCATCAACATCAGCACCATCATCAGCACCATCATCATCATCATCATCATCATCATCATCATCATCCCATCATCATCATCCTCATCATCATCCACACCATCATACTCATCCTCATCCTCCTCATCATGATCAGCATCAGCATCAGCATCAGCATCAGCATCAGCATCAGCATCAGCGTCAGCATCACCATAATCGCCATCGTCATCGTCAACGGCATGTGGGCATCATCATCATCATCATCATCAGTATCGTCATCAACTCGATCAGATTGTTCATCGCCAACAATATCAACATCATCATAATCAGACTCCTAATCATCATCGCGGTCGTCATCATCATCAGCAGCATCATCATCACCATCAACATAATCGTCATCATCATCCCCAGCATGACCCTCATCCTTACATCGACCACCACCATCATCATCATCATCATCATCATTATCATAACCAACATCATAATCATAATCATAATCATCATCAGCATCAACATCAACAACATTATCATCGTCGTCATCGTCTTCGTCGGCATCATCACACTCATCATACTGTTCACCTTTGTTTGCCATCATCAACAGCATCACCATCCCCACCATCATCGCCTCCATCGTCATCAGCCTCAGCATCTGCATCGTTATCGTAATCGTCTTCATCACCAGCATCAGCATCAGCATCTCCATCACCGTCTCCATCGCCACCAACACCATAATCATCATCATCATCTTCATCATCGACACCATCGTCGCCGTCGGCATCGTTGTCGCCGTCGTCATCGTCGGCATCATCATCATCATCATCAGCATCATCATCATCATCATCATCATCATCATCATCACAACCATAAACATCATCATCACATCACGCCCAATCCTCATTGAACTGCTCCTTCAACTCATCTTTCTGTTCCTCTTCCTTTCTCCTATGCTCCGTGTCTCCTCCATGTCCTTCGCATTAATTCTCCAATGACCTCAACACCCTGTTCGTACTCATTGCCACTTCCAGTGCTCGCCCCTCTTCGCTTGCTTACGCAGTAGAAGATCGGGAGAGACCATGGGCACCTCCATGACCGTGACAAATCCCTGTCAGATATCGATCTCGGCCAGCGAACATCGATCGAGCTCGATGGCAATCGACTTCGCAATACGACTCAGAACCAAGTCGACGGAGCCCCGTCTACATGTCGGCACTGCCGAGGCCTGGCCTCCGAGCTTTGCGCACCCACCCGCTGTGGCCGCGCCCGACGAGACGAGAGGCGCCGCCCCCTCTCGGCGACGCCGCTCGGATCAAAAATTCTGTAGGCTGCCTCTGGAAGATCCGGGGTGGGCCTCAGGGCGCGGGGCGGCAAATCCTCGCACCACCGCCACCGAGAATACATCGAGGGGGCCGACCCCTGGGAGGTGGGTCGCAAGAGAAGGAGGAGGAGGTGGAGGAGGAGGAGGAGGAGGAGGAGAAGGAGGAGGGGGAGGAGGGGGAGGGGGAGGAGGAGGAGGGAGGAGAGGAGGGGGGAGGAGGAGAAGGAGGAGGAGGAGGGGGAGGAGGAGGAGGTGGGGCAGGGGCGTGCCACCGCACAGGGGCCGGCCGCCCCCCCCCCCCCCCCCACACAAAGGGCTCTCGGTGGCGGTGTGCTCGTTTTTCCTCCACCGAGCGGAGGGTGAAGCGGAGGACACGCCCTTAGGGGGCCACATGCGAACACTACCCCTACCCCCCACGATTTCTGAGGGGGAGGGTGGGGTTCACTCCGTTCGGGAGCTCCCGAGCGAAATGAACCTCCCCCTCCCCCTCAGAAACCGTGGGGGGTAGGGGTAGAGTTCGCATGACACAGGTTCTAACATAGAGGTCATGCAACCCACCCCCACAATCACCACCCGGGCACGCGAAGTCGTGCAGAAGACGCGCCAAGAGGAGGAATCGAACAGGGCAAGGCTGTTTAATAAACGCCCAAGGCCGTCGAGTAAACGCCAAATGTCTTGTCCGGGTGGTTTTTCCTCTCTTAATAACATCCGCGCGACGACTCCGAGAACGCTTGACCCTCGCCTCCCACGACATGTCTCACCCCATCCAGGCTCAAGGACAGGAGACAGCACGCACACACTCGCTCGCCAGGCTAATCTCGCTGACGCTGCAGACTTGTCGGTTCCGAACCGCATTCCGCATGGCCAAAGCAGAGCAATTTGACTGTCATCAGACCCACGGAGCCGTATTACAGTGGGGGCCCGACCACAAGAAACCTTACACAAGAAACCCAACATGAGACCCCAGGACGTGCATTGATTTTGGTCTGGGAACGTCACGCTTTCCATAGCAAACCATCGAAACCCAAGAAAACCAGGGCACCCTGGAGGCAAGCAGGGCGTCTCTTGGCATGCGCCCCACTGTATCACGGCAAGTTCGTGTCGTGATGACTGCATTGCACATCGCATCGGGCCACGTCGGCGCGGTGTCGGAATCGAGTCGAATCGCGCCAGGATGCAGAAGAGCACCATGCAAACATCGGACCACGCTGCATCGTCGCAATATCGTAGTCAAGTCGGCTCGGGCAGGCTGGGGTCGATATCGAATCGGATAGATCGGATCAGAATAGGCCCCGCAGGGATGCCTCCTCCTCCTCCTCCTCCTCCTCCTCCTCCTCCTCCTCCTCCTCCTCTCAGTACCCACAAGACTCCGACGTTGTTTTTTTCATGCAACGTGGACCCCCCGAGATCTGGGCCCCTCCCCTGGGACGGGTGTTGCATCCCGAATCGTTTACCAACACCCCGAAGCTGTGAGATGTAGTGATTTTCTCTGAACCTGGACCCCAGGAGAGCTGGACCCCCTTCCCCAAGACGAGCTTTTGATCCCGAAGACGTTTGTTCAAACCTGGGGCCAGTAAGGGCCCCTAGAACCCGAAAATGTCCTCAAACCTCCCGTCACGAGTTCTTTCTCACGACGAGAGAAGATGGGAGGAGCAGGGTTTTTTCACCATCGCGGGCACGGAGGATCCAGCTGTTCCACTGAGGGGCAACGTGTGGGGGGTGCTGGCCCAGGGGGACAAACGTCTAGCTAGATCGGCGATATGCCCCCGATAGCGAATCCGCAGGCTCCCGGGCGGGGCGGACTATTCAGGCCCCCATCGGCAATCAATGGGCGATTGAGGCCCAATCATGATGCATCCCCCCTGAGCCTACTCTGAATTTCTGAATAGGCGTCGGGGGGGCCTCAGCCCCGCCGACAGCCCCACATCGACCCCCGTAGCGGGCAGCCACTGCGCGCCGAAGGCGCTCCGACCCCCGTCGCGGCACGACGACGAGGCGAGGTTGACCCCCGTCGGGGGGGGGGGTACCCCCTCACGCTTATCAAGAGACTCGAAATATCCCCCGCAATTCGGCAATGGTCCCCGTCGCTTGGTTTTCGGATCATAACTCGGGTCTCCAGAGGTCCTTCGGGAGGGCCTGGGCACCACCGGAAACGCTCTCGGCGAGGCGCAGCTGCTGGAAGGCCCCCCCGAGGCTGGGAAGCCGCCGAAACCGACGAAAACACCAAAACCCGAACCCCTAAGCTGGGGCGGGTGGTAATGGGGGTTGGGCGCCCGAGTTATCCGAGGTAACTCGGGCCTAAGGTAACTCGGGCTTGGATTCCCGAAAAACGAACCCCAGTTAGCCCTGACCCGAACTGCACCTGATGATTCGGACCTCTGGGCGCCCGAGTTATCCGGGGAAACTCGGGCCCAGGGTAACTCGGGTTCGGATTCCCGAAACACGAGACCGAATTAGCCCTGACCCGAGCTACCCCTGATGATTCGGAGCTCTGAGGGGGGGGGATCTACGTTTAAGTCGGGCATGTCCCCCTACAAGGGGATTTTCGACGGCAAATTTATATAAAAAAAAAACAGAAATGCTCCAAAATGGCAAAACAAAATACTCCAAAAATAGTCCCCGAACGATTTTTGGGTTATTTTTGGGGTATCTTGTATTCTTCGTCGAGAATCCCCTTGTAGGGGGACAGGCCCGACTTCAATATACGCTGGGCCCCCAATGGGGCCCTTTGGGGCCCCTGCGGGCTCCCCAAACGGGGTTCCAGAAGGCCCCTTTCGGGCCCTGCTTCCCCACCCCCCATGCACAGTCGACCCGTGCAGCAGGGATGCGCGAGATAGGGATGCAAGGGCCTCGGACGCCCACTTCGAAGCTTTCCCGGCGGGGCGCGGCCAACGAGAGTGGCGAAGGATGGACCTAGGACGCAAGGATGCAAGAGGGTACCCATGGGAGGGTTGCCAATCCTTCCTATGCGGGTTGACGGTACGTCACCTCACAAGACCACCCGCTCAATGAACTCGGGCATCTGCCAACCCGGGTCAATCAAACCCTGGTCAGCAGGAAACCAACAACTGCAATGCAGAGGGGGAGAAACAAACTGCAATGCAGGTCTTCGCAAATCTGGGTCAGCCAATATGTGCGGCCGCCTCGCGGCCACGAGCGGCTCGCTAACCTGGGTCAGCCAGAGGGGGTCTTCGCAGGATCATGCAAGATCCGGTGCCCTGGCTGACCCCCGTTTGCATTGACCCCAGTCGCTCAAGCTCCGATTGAGCAAGACTCGGCTGCCTCCCGGCGCGACACATCCGCGGGCAAGGAGGACCCCGGAGCCTCGAGAGCGGCCCCCGGCCGTGTCAGAGGGAGTGCCCCGCCCGCTGCGTCCTCCCTCCAGCGTTAGGTCGGGCATGTCCCCCTACGGGCGAATTTTGGACGAAAAAAACATTATCCAAAAGTGCACCAAAATAGGCAAAACAACAGTCCAAAATCGTCCCCACACGATTGGTGCCACTATGTTTGAATTTTCCTGCTGCAGAGGGACAGGCCCGACTTAACTCCAGCGGCCCACCCCCTCATTTCCCTGCGTCGAGGGAAGGGGAGGCAGATTTCTTGGAGGGAGGTGGGAGCGGAAGCTCATAGATGTATACAACCCGTGTAGCCCAGATGGCCAAAACTAGAGACATCCACACAGGGAGACTGAACGAACGCGTTGCGTGCGCGACCCCGATGGCTGGCCAAACAGGGGGGGGCGGAAGCAGCATGAAAGCTTGACCTTCGACCTGGCAAACGCCCACCCCGACCGTGAAGGCTAGACGATCGAATTACTCGGCCAATGGTGGGGGCTAGATCAGACTTGCCCGAGCCGCTGGCTTCGGAAGGGCTAGCAAACTCTTCCCGAAAGGCCGAGCCAGACTGGGAAACAGTGTTCTCAGGCGACAAGCAGCATGAGAGCAAGCAAAAGCAGGAGTCAGGGAAGAGACAGGAGTAAGAGGACAATGAGACGACCGAAAGAGATGAGGAGCAGCGGTTCTACTGCGAGGAGCAGGAGGCGCAGGAGCTGCGCTGGGTTGAACTCTCAGAACACTGTCCGAACGCACGTGGCCTACAACAGTCGCAGAACATGAACCAAGAGGAGAGGACAACGACGTGAAGACGAAAAGGATGGAGCAAGATCGATCGCGACCAGGCGCAGAAGCAGCCGTCGCCCGCGAACGCGGACGGCGGCGGCGACGGCCTGAGTCCCCGTACGGCTGCGACGCTTGCTCGTAGGGGTCCGCTGGCTCAGACCCCGGGTAGCCGTCCGACGCCCGCTCGTTCGAGTCCTCTCGGGTTGACCCCCCAAAAAGGGGTCCAGCAACAAGGGGGTGGTCCAATAGGTCTGGTGCAATCGATTTGTGGGGCTGCAATACGCTTGGGGCGTGCAGTACATCTTTCGGGGCGCAAGTGTCTTGCTGCATTTTCGCGTGCAATGCATTACTTACATAACAATGCACTACAATCTCTCCGGCGCAATACATTTGCCATACGGTTGCCCAAAACCTATGGCACCACCCCCTTGCAGCTGGACCGCCTTTTGGGTCACCCGAGTCCTCCTCCTCCTCCTCCTCCTCCTCCTCCTCCTGCTCCTGCTCAGGCCCGGGATACTCGCCCTGCGCGATTCATGGGTGTGTGGCGGGGGAGGAGGGGCGAGGCGCGGCGCTGGGGGGAGGAGGAGGATGATAAGGATGAGGAGGAGGAGGAGGAGGAGGAGGAGAAGGAGGAGGAGGAGGAGAAGGAGGAGGAGGCGGAGGAGGAGAGGGGGGGGGGGGCGAAGGGGAAGGGGGAGGGAAGGGAGGGAGGCGGAAGGGGAAGCGTGGGGGGCGTGGGGAAGGGAACAGGGGAGGGAACAAGGGAGCAGGGGAGGGAAGAGTGAGGGAACGGGAGGGAGGGAGGGAGGGAAAAGGGGAACAGGGGAACAGGGAGGGGAGGGAAGCGGGGGGGGAAGAGGGAGGGAACAGGGGAGGGAACAGTTCAGAGACAATATCCAATCCGATTACTGACCACAGAGAGCAAGGAGGCAACAACCTCAAAGAAGGGAGCAGGGACCGCTGAGCGGAACCGCTGAAACAGCAGAGACTAAGCCTCACGAACCAGGCAGCGGCAACCTGCCTCGGCAAGAGACCAGGGCAGGCCGCCGCAACCTTATCAGCTTGGCTCGCGACTAACGAGCACCTCGTTCAGACGCCACCAAAGGCTGATGAAGCCTCGCCCCCTTGCAAGAACAGAGGAGGCCCTCTAAAAGGGGGGCCTCGAGGAGGAAAAGCACGCCGCACTTCCTGCGCACGAGGCGCCGAGCAGCAGGTTGGGCCGTACAGCCGCCGTGCTCGGAACGCTCGAGGGCGCGCGCCTGCCGCGTGTCCTCGCACGCGAGACGGAAGGCCTCGAAGGCCCGCCCGCAGGACGGCACTCCTTCGCGCCCTCGGAGGGAGGCCCCCGCGCCGTGCAGAGCGCGCACGCGCGAGAAACACGAAGTGCGGTTGGGCGGGCTGGCACCTCACGCCGGGCTGCTCGAGCTTCGCTCGCGACATCGCAGTTTTAGCCGAGCCGTGGCACCGCGTGCATGGAAACCCCACACCACCCTCCTAGAGGCCTCCTAGATGGGGTCGGAATGGATGGGGTCGGAGGATCAGGCCGCATCGCCGATACATCGGCCATGCATCGGCGATGCGTCGATGCACCGGCGATTCATCGTCGACGTCGGCGATGCATCGGCGACGTCGGCGTGGGGAAACTCGGGCTCCACATCGAGCCGCATCGCCGATGCATCGGCGGTGCGCCGCGATCCTCCGAGCCTACCTACACGGACCCCATCTACTCGGACCCCATCTGCGCACGGCGTCACTGCCGGGAGCGCACGAGGGGGACGGGCGTTACGTTATAAAAGGGGGGGGGCTTGGCGGTCGGGGGCTACACTGCCCCGTATGCCCCAAGCAATAAAGAAACACGCTCAAGCAGTGACCGCATCCTCTGAAACCTGGTGTCTACTGAGTCTGACCTTCGCTAACCACTCGGCCCCAAAACTGCCCAGGAAGTCTAGGCTTCTGGGGGGATCCAGGCTCGAGATGTGAGCTCACCGAGTGCGGAGTCGAGGTCTCCGTGAGCGGGGTCCACCCTCAAAAAGAGGCGCGCCGACAGACACCGGGTAATCCCACCAGCCCTTTAGGGCGTAGGTGGTCTAGAGCGTTTCCTCTGCCGACCTCATTTCGGGGAGGGGTTTACCCTCCCCTTGCCCCTCCCCACCGACCTGGACGAGGGGTTCCGCGGGTCGTTGGGACGTCCAAGATGGCCCAAGACGGCTCCAAGAGCGAAAAAGCACTAAACATTGATTTTCACTAGGTTTTGGTAGGATTTTGGCATCAAGAAGGGCCCAAGAGGCGATTCGAGGCACTCTAGAGGGGCAAGGCGAATATACGACCCCCCTTTCTTTGATATATCTGCTCCAACATGGCGCCAAGAGCGCCCCGAAGGCTCCCAAGAGCGCCCCAAGAGCGCCCCAAGAGGGCCCCAAGAGGCCCCAAGAGGCCCCCAAGAGGCCTTCAAGAAGCTCCCAAGAGACCCCCAAGAGGCCCCAAGAGGCTCCCAAGATGGCCCAAAATGGCTCCAAGAGCAAAAAAAAACACATTATCCTGGCGAAGGACCCAACCAGATGCAGTTGCGAGTACCGCAATTGTGAATATTTTCTTCGATGACGCTCCCTTTGGGGCCACGAAACGTGTGAGGGGTGTGCCAAATCTGTGCGGCGGGCGCATGGGAGCGCAGCCACTGGGGCCTTCGCTGGAGCTCCCTATGGGGCCACGAAACGTGTGAGGGGTGTGCCGAAATGGGCGCGGCGGGCGCATGGGAGCGCAGCCACTGGGTCCTTCGCTGGAGCTCCCCATGGGACCACGAAGCGTGTGATGGGTGTGCCGAAATGGGTGCGGTGGGCGCATGGGAGCGCGCTGGAGCTCCCTATGGGGCCACGAAAAATGTGAGGGGTGTGCAGAAATGGGTGCGGTGGGCGCATGGGAGCGCAGCCACTGGGGCCTTCGATGGCGCTCCCTATGGGGCCACGAAACGTGTGAGGGGTGTGCCGAAATCTGTGCGGTGGGCGCATGGGAGCGCAGCCACTGGGGCCTTCGCTGGAGCTCCCTATGGGGCCACGAAACGTGTGAGGGGTGTGCCGAAATGGGTGCGGTGGGCGCATGGGAGCGCAGCCACTGGGGCCTTCGCTGGAGCTCCCTATGGGGCCACGAAACGTGTGAGGGGTGTGCCGAAATGGGCGCGGTGGGCGCATGGGAGCGCAGCCACTGGGGCCTTCGCTGGAGCTCCCTATGGGGCCACGAAACGTGTGAGGGGTGTGCCGAAATGGGTGCGGTGGGCGCATGGGAGCGCAGCCACTGGGGCCTTCGGTGGAGCTCCCTATGGGGCCACGAAGCGTGTGAGGGGTGTGCCGAAATGGGTGCGGTGGGCGCATGGGGGCGCAGCCACTGGGGCCTTCGCTGGAGCTCCCTATGGGGCCACGAAACGTGTGAGGGGTGTGCCGAAATGGGTGCGGTGGGCGCATGGGAGCGCAGCCACTGGGGCCTTCGCTGGAGCTCCCTATGGGGCCACGAAACGTGTGAGGGGTGTGCCGAAATGGGTGCGGTGGGCGCATGGGAGCGCAGCCACTGGGGCCTTCGCTGGAGCTCCCTATGGGGCCACGAAGCGTGTGAGGGGTGTGCCGAAATGGGTGCGGTGGGCGCATGGGAGCGCAGCCACTGGGGCCTTCGCTGGAGCTCCCTATGGGGCCACGGAACGTATGAGGGGTGTGCCGAAATGGGTGCGGTGGGCGCATGGGAGCGCAGCCACTGGGGCCTTCGCTGGAGCTCCATATGGGGCCACGAACCGTGTGAAGGGTGTGCCGCAATGGGTGCGGTGGGCGCATGTGAGCGCAGCCACTGGGGCCTTCGCTGGAGCTCCCTATGGGGCCACGAAACGTGTGAGGGGTGTGCCGAAATGGGTGCGGTGGGCGCATGGGAGCGCAGCCACTGGGGCCTTCGCTGGAGCTCCCTAT